CTTCAAATGAAAATGGGCCCCAGAGCTACAACATTCAATTATGCTGAGAAATAAGAAAAATAAGAATAAATCAAATTTCCAATGCCCCAGAAGTTCAGGAGCACTTTGAAAAAAAAAACTTCTTTCTGGGCTTTTTTGTATTTCTTTAAGAGCTTAGAAATAATAACATAGGTCTCATCAGTCTCAGAATTTTCTTTTATTAATAAAGCCTTGTTTGGCTTTTTTGGTTTTATACTTTTAAACATGGCTAAAATTTATAGATATATTTTATTCATCCCAAGCTGGGAAATTACACTATAGAACTTATTTATTTGTTGAAATTTAAGGGATAATTATTATAGTCTGATCTCTTTGGATGTACATCTGGTAGGAGCACCCTTAAAATGCTAGGACTGTTATCCATATGTAAAAGACACAGAACTTCTACCTGAGAACAGCAGTCATCACTGTAAATACACGGCTAAAAAACACACACACACAGTCTATGTAAAATAGATACAAACTAAAGATTAAAATCTGACACTTTTAAGTTGATGAATAATTATTCACCAAAAATGCACCCCAGAGAAGCCATTAGCGTGAGAGCTAAAAACAGCTAACTGAAGCAAACACTACATCACACTAGCAATTTGTACTCAGCTGGAACGAAGGGGAAAAAAACAACTTTCAAAAGAATAAATCACAAAAAAATAAAAATTTATCATTCAAATGTTTTCAATCACTCCCAAAGAAGCTGCACTGACGGAGTATAAAGCCAACGAAGCTGCAGCAGCTAGCACCAAGGCTAAGGACAAAGACCGGGTTTGGAAGGTGACCAGACGTGGTGACAAGGCCAAGGTAAAACACACTTCATAGGCTTGAGGTTGATTTTTTTTTTTTGTAAAGCTTGGGTTCAGCTGATTCAGTTGAATCCTATTTGTGGTTAAATGTGTGTGTCCTTTACTGACATTGCATTACATCCCAGAACAGCCTCACTTCAACAGACATTACTACATAGAGTAAGTAATGTTGTTGTCACTGTACTACAGCCCAGCATTTCCTATCTCCACTGCAACATTAACAGAAGTTTCAATGAAAATCCATATTATTTACAAAGAAAATGTTTTAGGTTATAGTATCAGTGTCAGTTACTGGAACAATCATAATCAGTTTAATCGACTGTTTTAAATGTATATTGTTCATCTCTGGATTAAATACTGAGAGAGAAGTGATGAGACGTTAGGTGTTTGACAGACGGATTAGATCCAGGTTATCAGATAAGAAAAGAAGTGACAGCTCTACATGGGCTATCGAGATTTAACAGAACCTTTGTATCCACACCTTAGAGCTGAGTTCTGGCTAAATGAAAGAACACATCAGAGTGTAGTACGACTTTTTTTCTTCTTTTTTTTTTTCACCCCTGCACTATAAGCTACAGACAGTGTCAGTACGATTTTACCACATCTGATTTATACGGCCGGTGCAGCCCAGTACATCCTCTCTAAGCTTCTGGGAATCTCGCTAAATAATGGAATTGACAAGTCTCATTTGTTTGCTTGTCTGTATAACAAAACCCAATGCCACACACACTCCTGGGAGGCATATCTATAATCCCAGAGGATAATGCTATTGAATTCACTTGAATGGGGTTATCTGTCAGCAAGGACACGCAGATAAAGGGCGACTGTTACTCAGAGATTTTGGGGATGGCCAGCAGCAGTGGATGAGCAGGGAAGAAGTTAATTGCTGCCATATTTAAATGTCGACACATCATGCCGAGTACAGAGGGTGGTGGGGGTGGGGTGGTGGGGGTGGCAGAGGCGTCAAATTGACTAGACCGTGAGTTCCTGCCCGTTTGAACTGTTTATAATCTGAACACAGGGATTTGTTGCAATCTTGGTTTAAAGGAAAAGTGAAAACACCGCTTGTCAATTAGCTCTCTACACAGATGTCTTGGTTTAACAACTTAGGGATCCAGACTGACACGACTGCAACCTTAAATGGAATTCTAAGGACATGACCAATTACAGCTGGAACCAAGGACGACTCTCAGTGTCAGGCAAAAAAGAAGAAAACTATGATTTTGTCATCAAGAAGCACTAAAAACATCCTCGTAAGTTTTTACTTCAAATACTGGGTTTGTACAGCAAAACTGAGTATTTAGATGGATGGATGGATGGATGGATGGATGGATGGATGGATGGATGGATGGATGGATGGATGGATGGATGGATGGATGGATGGATGGATTATATATTTATTTTTGGTCAATTAAAATATAGATAAAGATCTAAAGATCTAAAGATTGCATTGACAAACACATTTGTTAATTACTACTTAATCCATGACGACTCAAAATACCATTAGTAGTTTGATGGTTGTCTTTAATTTACATCTAAGTGAAAATTTCTGAGATAAACTAAAGTCTGAAACTGAATATTAAGATGGAACTTCAAAAAATCAAAGGCTCATAACATTCTATGAAAATGAGATGGAACTTCAAAGGCTCATAACATTCTATGAAAATCGAGGACTATTTTTTTAATATTCATCTTGCATTAGCCTGGTTATGTCACTCATGTCACTCATAACCATGAAATCAATGATGATTTTTTTAATCATAAAAATGACTGCCAGTGATTCTGACCGTCTGTTGAGACTGAATTCCTGTTCAAACGTAAAAAAAAAAAACCTTAAATACAATCCTGCTTCGTCTCATTGAGGTTACTGGGAGAGTTGGAGTTAGTCCCAGATGGACAAACTCAGGGTCCCTGGACCCGGTGCCAGTCCATTGACATTTATGCTCAATTTAGAGTGTCACATTAAACCTAATCCCCAATATACATGTTTCTGGACTCTGGTAAAGACCCAAAGTACCTGGTGAAAACACACACACACACACACTGTGAGACGTTCATTTTCCACATAGGAATGCCATCTGTCCGAGTCGGGACATAAACCAGCAGCACCAGCTGGACCATTCTACTCTTCTATACTACAATCTGTCCTTCATATACAAACATAAAATAAATACATCTATGCTTATATACATGCCACACAAAGTGCAACATAAACATAGTAACTTGAAGAGATAAATATTATTCTTGTATATGTTTTTTTTTTTTTCCCCACAGACTCCATGCATAATTAACTTTGCGCTGAATAACCAGGAATCCCTCAGACTCAGTCGGCAACCTTCAATTATTTAAGTCCATCTTTACAGTTGAACAACCCCAGTTCAAGAGGATATGAGACCACCGACTGTTCAACATTTTCATGTTTGCTTTCAGATCCCATTCCTACCTCAGGGATTTTTGGTTTCATTGCTAATATCAGCTTTTTTAGAATAAGATTTTTTTTTTTTTTTTTAAATCAGTATCGTGCTCAAAGTGGAGGCTCTCTAACTGTGTGAAACAAGGGTCAATGGGTTGCTCTCTGACACATCTCAGCAACTAATCAACTCCAACAACAACCCCCGTCTCTTGACCTCACTACATTACATCAAATTACACCACACTTCATTTCATTACTGCCACTGCCAACGGCCGGGACGACGGTGGGGAGGAGGTAGTGCAGACAGAAAATGTGGTTCAAGGCGCAGGGCGCAACTGTAGTTTGGTATCAAACGGCATGACCAGTGTATGTGTGTGTGTGTGTGTTTGAGTGATGACATGAATTATTCAGAACTGCTTATCTTAGAGGAAATGCAAGCAGGACATGCTGTGCTAACAAGAACACGGGTGGGCTGGCCAGAGCCAAAGTGAACTGTCCAGGCTGAGCCATCTGGGGAGTTGGCTCAGAGAGTGTGCGCGCGGACGAACCAACCATGCATGCAAAGGGAGGAAATCATTCAGTGAGCACAACAGATTTTACTACGACGATTCAAATGTAGTATCTGTGCTGCAGATGAACGATAAAGAGACAGGCTGCTAAATGTTGTACTTACTGCACAACAAAATACTGTATTGTAATATAAAAGTGTTTCATATCTATATTGACAAAACCAGGTTTGAAGTAAAGATGATATCACATAGATCCTTAATATCAGATATTTAGATCGGATAACGTTCCGATGTTAACCAAAATAGCTCAATCAGGTTTCAGATATTTGGACTTCTATGTTTTAGGCCAGAGGCGTGGAGATGGGTTCATTTAAAAAGTACAAAAACATAGTTCACTTTGGTGGAAGAACTGTAAAGACAGGAAGGGTTTTCAACCAACAACCCAAAAACCACAAAAATAACAGAGAATGTTCCGAAACTAATTTCTTCTTAGTTGCCTATTAGTTGTTAAAGTTCACATTTGTCTTGGAGTTTTCTGCCAAGTTCACTACTAGAACACGATTCGAGGCAGAATATGTCATCGCAAATATTTCTTCCTTAGACCGCTCTGGCCAAACTGCACAGGATTTGATTTAAGAATTATTTATTTTTTCTGTTTTTTCTTTTTTTTTTCATTTTAGATCATGTTGGACAGTTTGAGGTGTTTTTTGTTGTTACTAAGGAATTCCATATCCTGTTTGCATTGAATCCTTCCAACATTTGTTGTTTGTTCTAAATGTCAGGTTTATTTGGCTACTTTAGCTGCCATTTTTTATATTTCATTTATTATTTATTTATTTTTTGCATACAAAGACGTTTGTTTCTGTTGTTTTCAATGCTGTCCCAGGTGTCTGCTGCCGAAACATTTATTTTAACTATGAATACTAAAAAAAATTAAAAAAAAAAAACCCTCTGCTCTCTGCTTCCAAGGCAGGCATGCTAACCGCTACACTATGCAACCGATAATATGTGAATTTTTATATTTTATATATATTTACATTTTTGATAATTTGATACATTTTGTTTTGCATAGTTAGAAAAGTACTACTATGGCTAGCCTGATGCTTTTATCTGTTAGTGTTTTTGTTACCGAGTTACCGATAATAGACCAATACCACTCGGAATTCAACACAAAGGTATCGGTGGCGGTACCGCGACTAAAAAAGTTAGATGCGTTCTTCTTCAGTTGAAGTTACTCACCTCGCTTGTCGAAGTTATGCTTCAGCTCCTCGTCTTTGCACATCACCCCCGTGTGCACCCCCATGCCCATGTTGACTCCGTAGTCCTCCTGCACCTTCCCATCATTGAACTTGTTGTGGAGTTGGTTGGGAGTGGAGTTCAGGGAGTGTCCTCCGTGCTCCTCCTCATCGCCATCATAATCATCAAGGATGGGCGTCTCTCTGATGGGCATGCCGATCACCGAGCTGCTGTGCTGGTGAGTGTTCCTGGAGCCTCGGTAACTGTCCCGGCCCTGGGGGCCCAGCAGGACGGAGGGGATGTAGTGGATCTCGTGGGTGGCCTCCGTGCTCGCGCTTTTCTGGGGGACGCGGCGACGTTTGCACCATCGGTGACGGGTGTAAAGGACCAGGGTGAAGAGTAGGATGAGGAGGAGGAACGCGATGAGGCCTCCCTGGATGACAAAAAAAAGACAAAAAAGAAATAACTCCATTTATTCCAAACCAATATGTGCTCGATGCCAAACGATGAAACCAAATAATCCTCTGAAGGGTTTACCCTGTAACAGGAACAATTACAATAACTGCTCCAGTGGCAGTTATGTCAGACTGAACGCCACTTTGCACCATTTACCAGCAATTAAAGACGCCTGACAATTACTGCCTGACAATTACTGCTCCAGTGTAAGGCAGACAACAACCAAATATTTTATGAACAAACAAATTCAAACTAAACAGATAAATGCACAAACAAACAGTGAGTACACTCACTGGAGGATTAAAGATACTATGGAGCTCAAGTAAAATACATTGAAAGGCTGGCAGAAATGAACAGAAGTAATTATATTACTGAATATTAAGCATTCAACGTTGAAATGAGGATGGAGTGTTTTCTATAGAACATGACCCAATACAGATGGATGGATGGATGGATGGATGGATAGATTCTATTCTACTGTACATGTTGATACACATGTACTGCATTGGCTTAGAGCTCAAAATACCCAGCATCTGTCTGTGGACATCACTATAGTTTTGAAAGAAAATCCTGATACGGTCTTTAAAGCAGTAAAGGTGAAAATACGGCAACTTCATCGAGCAAAATATTATCTCTCGTTTTGCACTTTTTTTATTGACCTCTTTTTCATATCAAGAATCCAAATGATGGGATTAGTCACAAATAAGAACAGGTATGAAACACAAACATCTACCTGCTGTTATTTGTCTTCCTGTTCTAGCAAAAGAGAGAAAAAAATGAATATTTTGTCTTATTAAGAAATACAAAGAGAGATTTATCTGTATTGTGTGTCCTAATTAAATATATCAATTAATCGAGATTAATTGTGATCATGATTGCTCGATAATAATTTTACATGTACTCTGTTATAACCACATTAAAATAAAATGTTCTCCTAATCCTTTCTTCACACAGAACCATCCATACACCATGGAACTGTTGCGCAGCACCATTACACTTCGATGATTAAAGAATCAGCACTTTGCTTATCATGCAGTTGCTGCGGCTGGACAAATTGTCAGCATCTGACTGCGGGATTTGTTTAATATATAAGAAGAAAGTAGACCCAGCACAGTAATTCCATATTGATTTCGGATTTCAGGATTTGGGAACATACAGAGCAGGGCATTTTGTCTTTGCTTCCCTTTTGTTTCTCTACAAAGGCCTTTGTATGTTGCAGGAAATTATACAAAAAAAACCCCAACAACACCAAATGTAATTTTCTATGGTGTATTTATTGCTTGGCCATAAAGAAAACATCAAACAACGCTGATATACGTGTGGCGTCTAGATGATTAAATAAATCCATTTGCCCAGACGTGCAGGATGAGGGAAAGAAAAGAAAGACCTGACTTATTCTTTGATTTCTCATAACAGCAATAAACACGTTGGACCGAGTATTGGATTCGGAGAGACATGGCAACCTGGGAGCTATGTATATGTGGCTGTCAGGAAGGAAATGCAGCATCGGCACATTTGCAGGCACATAGTTAAAGATGTGGCTTTAATACACACATGCACAGAGGCGTGCACATGAGCACAGTGCCTGCAGAAAACACATGCAAGCTAAATCATGACCAAATAATAAATAAAAGGCAGTGATGGGGGGGAGGGTCATTTATCATAACATTTAAAATTCCATCTTCATGAGAAAAAACAAACCCCTCTCAAATTATAACTCATGCACTGCTGGGTGTCCATAAATCACACTATGCAGAGAAGAGAGGCTGTGCGGGAAAAGACGACGAGCGCGGACACAAGTTGTTCATTAATCTCCAGCCGTATGGCAGCTTTGCAAAAATGCAGTTCCTCAAACAGCCCTTCGCCTGCACTTCTGCATTAATTCCCACCGAAGAAGAGCAAAAAAACATATGAAGGGCTTATCGTTCATTTTCGCAGCAGGGTGATAATGGAGTGACATTGTACAGTGTCGGCGTGCTGCCTTGCTAAAATGGCTGTGGATTTTTTTGTAAAGAAAAATTGTGCGTGGCCACATTGCTTTTGGAAATGGTTAGCAATGTCACCTAACAGCGAGAGACCACACCCCCCACCACAACGCAGACAGATGGCCTTTCTGTGTGAAGTTTGAAAATTCACGGTTTATGTGAATATTCTTTTTTTTTCCTGCTGCTCATGGCGATCTTCTTCAGACAAAAAAACCTGCAAATGGTCAGTGAGGTAATGATATGCACAACTACAAATGCAGAAATATATACTGACATGTATACATATATAAATACAAATATATACATATATTAATAAAAATATGCGTGTTTACATATATTGCCTACCCCGCTCCCCCATTTTTAATGTGTTAATTTATAGTAACAAAATATAAACAAACAAGAAATACATCAAATCAATATTTGTTTTGACTTCACAAACCTGTGAATGTATGATTCTTACAAAACACTGACCACAGCAGAATCAGGTCAAGCACATTTATTAGTTAAACAAACCATGGGATGATGCTGGCAGCGCATTGCATTGGATGAATTGTTCTATTATTAATTATAAAGTTAATAGTAATAATAATAATAATAATAATAATAATAACGTGTTGCTGTAAGCTCAGACACCAAAGCTAACACTGATATGATTGTCCTTTTATCCGTACACAGTAAACAGTTACTCTGCATTAGTCTGTGAATGTAGTCGACAAAGGAAAACTCTCTCCTGCTGTGTCATATGTTGTCATGCAATTAGAATCTGTCAGTTTATTTTCTTCATTACCAAACCTGAATTAATCCTGATCTACCTTCAATATATAATAAACATCGGGTATTTAATATAAAGAAGAATATATTTACTAAAACTCATCACCACAGTGAGTGTTCTGGCCATTGTAGTAACAGTAAAGTACTACCTTCCTACTGTACCGTCATTACACGACCTCTAATGAATAGGACCAATATTTTTTATCCCTGTCCAAACCACAGATTTAACATGAATGTCAGTCATTTATTATAAACAATACAAACAACAGACGTTAATTCAAGACCAAACAGTGATTCTTTATTCTGGTGGAAATACTGCCAAAGTGACTACAGTACACTGGACATTACTGTATGGTGGTAGTTTTTTCCACTATAACTATGTTTGTCGTTCAATGACAGCGGTCTTCAAAACATCAACATTGTGTTACTACAAAATAAAAGACATCAGTCCTCGATGGCTGAGAAGTACCAAACCTCAACTTTAGTCTTTGGGATTTTTTTTTGTTTTAAACATCAATGTCCCTACAAACGAATCATTCATGCACCGTCTCTGTCTCCCTGAACAAATCCTCCTTCATCATCTTTACTTTCTTGTATGCCCCTACTCCCCCCCACCTCCTCCTCTTCTTTACAGTGCGTCTTTCAGCCTCCATTCTCCCTAATGTTTGATCACATCTTTTTTTCCACTCTTCACTACAACAGTGGTTTAAATCCACGGAGGCAGACGTCGCCATGAGGGAAAATGGGTTTTCTGTTCATCTTCACAAACTACAAATCCCTGCTGTTTTACTCCTAAGTGACTTCAGGGGGAGGAAAGAGCTTGAAATCCCATAATTCCACTCTTGCTTCACACACACTGATTATCTTCCGTGCTTCACGTTACTTTTTTCTCCCAATAATGTTGTCGTTGCCCTGCTGAGTGTCTTAGCCGGCCACACTTTCCTAATGCATTTCTGCTCTTCACTCTGCCCCCTCCTCTTATTAACTTGTTACTGCATGAGCTTTTTCTCCCCCCCCATGGTCACCCTTTTCATCCCCTACTCTCCCTCCTGCTTTTCTTTGTAAAAGGTCTGCTTCTTTCCTAATGTTCCTCCATCTTTGCTATCATCACTGATACTTTACTTCAATTTGAGGCAACAGTACTGGAAAACAAACCAATGTTTTAATTAATTTTGGAGGATTAATCAGATTAAAAATTTCCCATGCGCTTCATATGCATAGACAGAGTGACGTGCACTGTTTATCTAAAGATCTACTGATTCAATTCAATAAGACATTTTTTTTTTTTAGCTACAAACACTGTGACGAAAACCTTTTGTTTCACAAACTAGCTCCGGCTTAAAATAACATTAACTCCCAGCATGCCTCACTTTAGGTCAGATGCTGGGCTTGTGTCAGACCAGCCCCACTTAGCGTAGGACAGTAGGTCAGTCTATGACTGACAAGCTGACTGAGACAACTGTCAAGTGGATCATGACAAACTGTCGACTGTTTGAATATTGTTGAGGAGACGTTTTAAAAGGAACTAATGACCAATTTTTTTTGCAGATTTTTTTTGACATTTTTCTATATTAACAATTCCATCATTTTGATCAGGCACAAATGTGGAAAAAGAGTTGTGAAACACATACTGTAATCTACTGCTATTTGTCTCTCACGTTCACCAATATCCAGCAGGTCCTCGACCGGCCGAGTTCCATTTCTACGGTGCAACATAACTTGTTTTTCGCCATAAGTCTGAACTCCCATACTGTACATCAGTGCCTGTGTCACTCACCTACACTAACACGGTGGTGACATCATAATCTTGGACATAAAACATCAGAAGAGTCTGCACATAACACAACACAATCCATCGTACGACGTATAACCGGCGAATGTAAACAAAGGCGTCTTCTGCATATAGGCCCCCTGTGACCGGAAGGAACTTGAACCTCTCACCCTAGTGAGCAGACACTCGAACTAGGAATAAACAGCGACGGCCCGAGTCATCAAAAACCAATCAAAAATCAAAATCTTCGCAGCATGAGTTTAGGTTTATTTTCAGTCAGTCGAGTGTCATGAAAATAACCTGAGGTTCAAACTTCTTCATACAGGGGGCGTTATTTGCATAAGCTGTTTTTCAACCTTTAGATTTGCTAAACATTTTGGGCCCGAATGTTATATTTGATGAATTTCTTGCCAATTTTTTTGCATTTTTTTCGCTTAAGTCGTATTTGAT